CTGCCTTCGGATTTGTTTGGACGGCCCGGACGCGAGCTATCACTCGGGCAATCCTTAGGGTACCAGAGCAAAGGGACCTAACTGGCGACCGGTTCATGCAGTTACAAGCGACCTGCAAAGAGCGGACATTAGGCCAAGACAAAGGAGGCTCGCGCAAGTGAGACTGCCCCGGGGCCGGGTTGCTGCTATCGTGAGGTCACGCCGAGGGCAGATGCACATGCGTGCGTAAGCAAGCGCGCTCACGGGCACTTGTGGAGAGGCAATGGAGAGCAATGACTACTGGCCCTTAAAAATGCTGCAACAACTGAAGGCGGCCAATTTGTTGCTGGAGACACTGCCGACGACCCGAGATTCTGCTGCTAGTGACAAGACGTGTTTTTGGCCGAGACGAGCTATCGACGACAGAAGACAATGCTGATGTACAAGCAGAACTAGTGATAGTAAAGTACTATCTCCTATCATGTTCTGCGTTCTCTTCCTAACACGTAACTTGGGACATAACCGGTGTTGACACAGGAACACACTCGGTTATAACAGGTGTCATTTCTCGGACCCCAACAGCAGCCGCACACCGGCCAGTAGTACAGGCAGATGGTATTTCCGACAAAGACGAGGGAAGCTGGAGCGGCAATTTCTGGCTTACTAGCTGCCATCAGGCAGTTACAGCCAGACGCAAGTGGGTTACCACCCGAGGCTCGAATTCGTGAGCGGTCTGTGAACGTTCACCAACGTTTGTCAACAGTTCCCTCTCTAAACTGAGTCAATGGTTAGAGCGTAAGATCCTGGCTGAAAAAGTTCGCGAGATTGAGCATCGAGTGCTGCACCAGTTGGGACTGGGTATGACTGGCTGACGACGGCTAATAAGCCAGAAAGGGTCATTTCAACCTCCCGCTTGTCTTTGCCGGCAATACTATCGCTCAGCAGTTCTATGTGTTCCCTTGATGACAGGATAGGATAATAAACATGCTCCGTAATACATGTGGCTTTGCCACAAGGTCAAGATTAGGATTGGTGTTAAGATTAAAATTATGGTTGAGGTTTGGCCTAGGGTACGTGTTATAGTTCAGTTTGTTCGGCGTCGCCAGTGGTTATAACCCGGTATTTCGAACCCGACTAATAGGTAGAAGAAGGCAAGAGGGCGGTCCTGATAGGCAATGACTTTATTCAGGCGTGCGGGGTCTGCTGAGTCGTCGGAGTCTGCCGGTCCGTCTGAGTCGTCGGAGCCCTTTAGCTTGTCAACTCCGGCATATTTATACGGCTCCGGTCTTTCCAGAAT